TACCAGAGCATCCAATATAACTAGAAAATCACCAAGTGTGTTTACATTAAACCAAGGAACCACAAATTAAGATGATAGAACCTGTGTACACTTGTGTATACTTACAAGCTAAGATAATTACAAGTGTAACCCAGGTGGGCTTGGACGACTCAACGACTCAACTCAACGACTGTATCAAAGGTGACACGCCGTGAGACTACCTATTATCTCACCCAGCTTCATCAAAGGTACCAGCGACTACTCTACACTCGTTCAGGCAAGTGTTAACAAGTGAGGTCGTTTGATATCAAACCCCGGCCCAAACAAGCTCGTTAATATTTTTTTCGTTCTCTTTCCTTTGGTGTTTCTATTTACTGTTACTCTCACTTGTATCAGTATTGGCCAGACACTAAAGACGTTAACTCGGCTTATATTTCAGTCTTGTGTCCACCACTGAATAGTTAAACAATCATTCATGTGTATTTTGGATGTTTTCAATCTCACACACACACACACACACACACACACACACACACACACACACACACACACAGTGACCTCCATTGTAAACATTAATCTGTATGTTCACTGTATGTTCCTTTACCTTTATCTAATGAAGGCTTTTGTTAAATCACCAATGTCAATGTATGTAACAAGTCATTTATGTTCCATGTGTATTTTCAGCTTTGGGGCTGCAGAGCTTTTCCAATAAACCGTTAATTATTATTATTTTTACACATCCAGTGCGTCAATGAGTTGTGAAGTAGATTAATACTAATTTTACTGGAATTTAAATTTCTTTAGAACAACTGATCCAATAACCAGTTTATAAGAGTTACCGATAAGCTGAATTCTCATTACCTTTACAAGTAGCAGTGATAATAATGACCTAGTCGTATGTACAGTACAGGGAATGGCAATGATTTAACAGAGAAAACTGACATGGAAGGGTAGACTAAATTGTAAGCTAAATAGAAAATCAAGTTTACACAGAGAGCCGACAAACTATAGCAGCTATTAGTACTGTAGTCTCATCACCGTAAAGCTCATCTTTATGTTATTTATATATTCGGATCATAATTCTTGACGATACAGTGTGGTAGCCTGTGGTGACCTCTAGCCGTGACCTGAGTTATGATCAAGGTATGTCAAGAAGAACTAACACCATGGGGGACCAGTGGTAGAAGCGGTACCGTTCTTGCCTCGCAAGCGAGATGTCCCTGCTCACCTAGCAGTAAAGTAGGTACCTGTTGTAAGTCGCGAATTCGTATTCAGGGAGTTGTTGGAGCTTCCAATAACTTGATGACATAAACCACTGACTCTTCAGGCTTCTACGCCCTTAACTCGTGAGACATAAAGGCAAGCATGAACTAAGCATGCTTCCCTGTTGAGCGCTGTAAACGCTTCTGCGCTTCACCTTACACAAGGATGTAGGGGGGTGCCCAATAAAAAAAAAAAAAAACTGACACCATCCTGATATATCAAGATCGTGAGGACAAACACAACTTCTCGGTGTTTTAATTTATTTGTTAAACTCTGGGTCTCTACTCGTGCACCATAAGTAGTGTGCACAATGTGTTTATCTCCCTTAGTCGTAAAGAGGATCACCAGCTGCTCTTATCTAAACTACTGAATCTCACGTAACGTTTAGCGAACCTCTTAACCTCACCTTAACACCGCTAAGGAGACGAGACGGTGTTTGATCCAGCAACATTTAGTCATAACAGAGCCGCAACACCGAAGTAGTTAATTACAGGAGCATTAAGAAGTGGAGGCAATAAACATAAAGGGACATACCAGGTGCTGCCAGAGGAAGTGTTGATGTTGGCAGGCTGTGAACAAGTCACGGGATAAAATAAACATCTGGGCCCACATACCTGGCGAAAGCACCCGATGACTCAACGTCCTGGCGAGCCTCACCGAGTGGCTGAACTATCGCTCACAAACTGACTTATATGGCAACATTTGAGGCAAAACATAAGTTTCTTACCGCGTTCTCACAAGGAGGAAATTACTCAGATTTTCTTAAGGGTTAAAATATTATTATTTTATCACACATAAGAGTCAGCAACAGCCAATGAAAACTTGACTTGAAATGTTGTAGTTTGTTTAAAGGCTAAATTTTCCTTTTTGTCTATCGTGGTAATTTTCAAAATGTTGTTTATATTATTCTCGCCACCAGCCCGCCAGCGTCACAGCAGCGTCACACTATCACCAACCCACCAACGTCACCCCACCACCAGCGTCACTGCAGCGTCACACTACCACTAGCCCGCCAACGTCACACTACCACCGGCGTTACACCATCAACAGTGTCACACCACCGCCATTCCAGCACAATGCCAGTAAACTACCACCATAACACAAATAGACTACCGTGACAACATTGGCAGACTAACCAACATACTGCCACCATACCAGCACCATACCAGCAAAAACAACAACTCCAAACTACCAGCACCACACTTATCATCATATTCTCATAATACCAAGCGAACAGCTGCATAAACTAACGCCTATGCAAAGCTCTCTCTCAGGTGACTCGTCTAACCACTTGAATACGATAACTTAGCTCTCTGAAAATGACAACTTATTCCCGAAAGTATGAAGCCGTTTTACTCAAGTCATTGTTCTCAAAGGGTTAAGTCATCGTATTCGAGGGGTTAGGTCATCGTACTCAAAGGGTTAAGTCATCTTACTCAAGGGGATGTCATTGTTCTCAAGGGGTTAAGTCATTGTACTCAAGGGGTTAGGTCATCGTACTCAAAGGGTTAGGTCATCTTACTCAAAGGGATGTCATCGTACTCAAGGGGTTAAATAATCGTACTCAAGGTTAAGTCATCGTAGTCAAGGGGTTAATATGGTCACCTGTTAAGTCCTGGGTAATACAGTGATGACCTTCTCTCACCTTGATGTTGTTCACAGTTGCTCAGATTACTTTGTTCAAGGCTTATGAGCGTGGATAACACCACTACACACACACAGACATGTTACACACACACAAATATATATATATATATATATATATATATATATATATATATATATATATATATATATATATATATATATATATATATATATATATATATATATATATTATCTTCAGGGTGAGTACAGACTGTACTCACCCCTGAAGATGTGAATTTGAAAGCGCTTGAACTTCGTGTTTTCTTCTTTCCTATCAGCATATATATATATATATATATATATATATATATATATATATATATATATATATATATATATATATATATATATATATATATATATACAAACTTGTCATCATACATATACACAAACTTGTCCTCACCTATACACATATATATATGCATCTATACATACAGGCATACAAGCATAGGTTTATATGTGTATGTGTTAATATATACACTGATAAATGGCTAATTATAGCACTAAACACTATCGGGAGAGAGAGAGAGAGAGAGAGAGAGAGAGAGAGATTTCAGACAGGTGGTTCTTATGACGTCAGGACAGCAATGTTTACGATGCCTTACCTGAGGGATGTGAATCATCCTACGGGGTCGTGGTGATGTACACGAACTGGACCACAAAGGGGGAACAACGTCAGCTTCTCCAAACACCAATAGAATCTCTCTCTCTCTCTCTCTCTCTCTCTCTCTTGATGACTATTAAATGTTGGGTAGGCCATAAAATGTAGTAGGGATATGCCATGATTTTTTGTGTTTCCATAAGATCTTTATTATGCATGTGAATAAAGTATTCTGTATTACCACTTACACAACTTTTCCCGTATCAACAAGCCACCAGCACATTATACAGTACTGTATAAGACTGGGATGTGCTGTCAGTCGCTGGGATGTGCTGTGCTGTCAGTCGCTGGGATGTGCTGTGCTGTTAGTAGCCAAAATAAAGCAGCAGAATTTGTGAGGTTTATAACGTGTATTTGTGTTTGCTGTCTGAGTCGTGGTGAATACTCTCTCTCTCAGCCGTCTTGTGGACACCGTTACCTGCATCTGACTTTTGGGAGGGAGCTCGACCTTCACCTGGTGCGGAGAGAACTGTTGAGAGGGTTTTGGCCGGTGGGACCAGTTTCCTGAGTGAAGAGACGATCATCAAACTACTCCTTTTTCATGAGATTTTTAGACATTAATTATAGAGTCTTGTGTCGCTGTCTTATGGCTAACTACTGGTTCCTTCTGGTGCCAAGGTGTTCACTCAACACTCACCCATAGCAGGAATTGTCACTCATAATGTCGCACCAAATATGGAGGACTTTTACGTGTTCAGTTTCTACAACAGTCACAGCTTCAAGTACTGAGTTAGGAAAACTATACCGCCAGACTCTTGAGGGTTATAACCCATCAGCGAGAAGCCGTGGGACCTCCACCAAGAATGTCTGGAGGGCCAGTTTACCTCCGGGAGAAGGAACAACAACATATGACCACGTAGACATTCCATCTTCGTCAGTAGTCACATCGACCCTTACCTTAACTGCCACAAGATGTCGCTGCCACACCGAGGTCCAGCATCCCTCACCACACTGATCCCTTCATTTTGTGTTTACGTTGGTTTCATTCTTAAGTTATGAAAAACAAAATTATATTGGCAGATATAAAAAATTTCTAAGGATTTATCTATGTTTCCCCATATTTTCAGTGTTAACATTGGTCTGTTTATCCTGGTTATTGCTTTCTAAACTCAAGTATCCTGTTCAACATGTTACACAAGCCACATAAAGAGTAGAGGAAGATGTGTTCCTGTAGGTGTGGTTTATATCTATAGCCCAACACAAAAGTGATTTGTACTCAATCTTAGATATGAAGACTCATGTCAGTTCTTCATGTACTCAGCGCCAGCAGACTCAATAGATCTTATCATATACAGAGAAAAGCATTTGATGCTCACTTGTTTTCTTCTTTTGATGTGTCTGTGTAGGTTAATTCCCTTATACAGTCTTTGGTTTATTATTGCTTAAGGAAGTAGTAAGTTATTCCCACTCTCAGTTATATGTGTTAGAGAGGAAGAAGAAAAAACAATACTTTATTGTTGTACTTTTATTTATATTTTAAAATATACAATTAGTTAACAAGAGCAATAATCTCAGAGTGGATGGCTTCACAATAGGAGAATTTTGGGTTACCAAGTGATTTTGGTGTCACGTGGAGTGACCAATCAGCATCAAGGGAATATAGAGACAAAACTGACAAAAAAATCTAAACATAGACGAATACAAGCCATAGAGTGTTAGTCCAATTAGATTGTCGATGACATCACAGCAAAGTTAGATATAATTGGACAATTTCAATAATTTTACAGGGGCTATGATCCAATACATCTCCTCGTCACTGATGACGTCACCGGAAGCTGCCTAAGCGCGTCAAGACGAGCAAAATGAAAACCAAATAAAACCCGCCAATAGGAAGCTAGAATATGAGACTATCTTGTATCATACAGCAGCTTACTATTTACAAGCTCTATTGTCCACAGGATGATTAACCACTATCTCATGAAGATAAAGTATGGTCTCTCATAGACATATGTCTTTTACACCTGCATTACTGAGTCTGTCTTAGATTAAGATGTGACACAAGCGTTAACTGCTCAACAACCTTCAGATGAATCTTAAATATATAAATATATATCTATATATTTTTCGTTACATTAGGGGCCTAATAGTATATAAAGGAGAAGTATCAGTGTAGATGCCATACGCATTATAACAAGAAAAAGTTGATCTGATGGAGTATAAGAACAATTTATCTAAAAGTTTCAAGAGAGAAGAAAGTGAGATGCTTTACTTGGAGAAACCGTACGTGAACTGGTGCGATCGAGACTTCACCCTGGGCTCGCTCTCATAGGGGTCAAGGGAGGAGGAGCGGAGAGTCCTGCTGTACTTATAAGCGTCACCGTCTCCGATGCTGTGTTTCCTCATCTTCTTGATCATTTTGTTGATGTTGTCGGTCAGCTCTTCTGACTCCTGCGCCTTCCTCTGGTCGAACATTTTCTTGGCTGAGCGGAACTTCTTGTCTTCATCGTCAACGATGCTCTTAATGGAGCGTGAGGAGGAGAAACTGAAGTCATCGTCGCTAAGACTGACATTGCGACGTCTCGGCCTCGGCGGCAGCTTAAAGTCAGCATCATCTTCTAAGCTTAGGAGACGAGATGGCCTCGGGGGAGCTCTCGGAGGTTTGGAAGATTCGAACTTGCTGGTCTCTTGGTAAGAACTCTTTCGGACCGTCGAACCTGTGCCAGGGATCGTGTACGACGCTTGATCCTGTTTGACAGTCCTTTTGCCCGGGGCGTCCAGGGCCTCGTTGTACACCACTTCCTCCCACTTCTTGGCTCGTGAGCCTGTTCCTCTCTCAATAAGGTCAGCCTTCTGGAATTTTTTCTCAAGTTTTTTGATATCATCCATGAGGCCCTTTTTTGCTGCAGGGTTGATCCCGAAGTCGTCACCACTAACTGCATCTTTACCAACGGAGGTCTTGAACCCAAAATCCGAGTCGATGTATCTCCTAACTGGTATTTTGAAGTCTAGATCGTCAACTAGCGAGAATCGCCTGCGAGGTTCGGGTTCTGGTTCGTCAAAACTGAACGACAGCTTTCGGTCTCGGTTGCGTCCTGACCTCGATGGCTGCGGGATGTCATCAGGTTCGCTCCCTCTGGAGGACCGACCACCACTTGAAGCGCGACGGTTCACTAAGGGCTGAGACAAGGCTGACTCGTTGGTTTCATAAGGGAGGCCTCGAGTCTTACCATAAAAAGGCTTGTTGGCGAAGCGTTCAGCGTAGGAGGCGGCTTCGGGAGGCTGTTGTTTGGACCGCAGCAGTTCACGGTTCTCGATGTAGTCGGTTTGCGGGTTGTAGTAGCTCTCGCCGACCCTGTAGTTGTAGTCATAGATGCGATAAGGCAGCTTCCTCTTCCACTTCTTCTTTTCATCCATGCTGGCGGCTGTAAGAGGAAGAGAGGGTGAACTGCCACGAGAGGTTCTTAAACAGTTATCGTTATCAGTAAATCAAGATAAAGTTAATTGATGATATGATGTTCTCTAAATACATGTAAATACTGTATATCAAATTGAAACTTGATTCTACTCATTAAGATAAACAGCTATTCATGTAAACTGATACCTGTATGATTATTAACTACCAATAAAATAATTACATAAAAACAATATGCAACAGACTTTGGGTAAGACTGACTCAGGACCATGAACCTAAATATTAAAAAGGCTTATATTCTTACATGATAACCTTAAGTCTAAAGAAAATTAATCATCATCTTAAAATTAATAAAACTCCCAAGAAAATTATTTTTGTGATGAATTAATGGCTGGATGATGGACGTGTGATGATGGCTTAATAAATCTGGTTAGTATGTCTGATGGACCTTGTACATTGTAGTCAGGATATTAAACAAATGATGCATGCATGTATGTATGCGTGTATGCATAAAACAATTATGTCAAATTCTAAATACTTTGCTGACATTACCAGTAAGTGTTTCATCAACCACCAAAATATGAACTCCTTACGTGTGTTGTAGTGACCCACGCCTCTGTCCTGCCCACACTTCTGTCATGCTCACGCCTCTGTCATGCCCACACCTCTATAATACCCACACCTCTGTCATGCCCACACCTCTGTCATGCCCACACCTCTGTCATGCCCACACTTCTGTCATGCTCACGCCTCTGTCATGCCCACGCCTCTGTCATGCCCACACCTCTATAATACCCACGCCTCTGTCATCCCCACACCTCTGTCATACCCACGCCTCTGTCATACCCACGCCTCTGTCATACCCACGCCTCTGTCATGCCCACGCCTCTGTCATGCCCACGCCTCTGTCATACCCACGCCTCTGTCATACCCACGCCTCTGTCATGCCCACGCCGAGAGTATGTTACGACAACAGATGTAAACACACAGCAGGATGTAGTTACGTTCCCTGAAGAAAACAAACCAACAAAAAACAAATGAGTATCTGAAGGCGTAAAGAAGCAAAACAAAAATCTTTAAATTAATTCAAAACAAATGAGAAACAAACGAAATTAATGTTTTTATCTTTTGAATGAATGAAAAAATATGATAGCGATATACTTCACAGAGAGTTAAGGATGAAGATGAAAGGCTAATGTTCAGTAAATAGAGGAAATGAGTTGGAAGTGGACCACAAGTGAACCTCAAGTGGACCTCAAGTTAACCTCAAATGGACCTCAAGTGGACCTTAAATGGATTCAAGTGAACCTCAAGTGGACCTCAAGTTAACCTCAAATGGACCTCAAGTGGACCTTAAATGGATTCAAGTGAACCTCAAGTGGACCTCAAATGGATTTCAAGTGAACCTCAAATGGACCTCAAATGGACCTCAAGTGGACCTCAAATGGATTTCAAGTGAACCTCAAGTGGATTTCAAGTGAACCTCAAGTGGATTTCAAGTGAACCTCAAGTGGATTTCAAGTGAACCTCAAGTGGACCTCAAGTTAACCTCAAATGGACCTCAAGTGGATTTCAAGTGAACCTCAATGGATTTCAAGTGAACCTCAAGTGGACCTTAAGTGAACCTCAAATGGACCTCAAGTGGACCTCTTAATAAAATCCTCAGGTAAAGGTGTGCAAGGTGCTAATGGTAATGTTAAAGTCATATTGTTCACGAAAATATTGATACTCTTAATATGTTCCTCTGATGATGTAAATTAATCAGAATTATGTGTCGTTTAAGTGTCTCTCCTGAAGTGTCGTTTAAGTGTCTCTCCTGAAGTGTCGTGTGTTAAGTGTCTCTCCTGAAGTGTCGTTTAAGTGTCTCTCCTGAAGTGTCGTGTGTTAAGTGTCTCTCCTGAAGTGTCGTTTAAGTGTCTCTCCTGAAGTGTCGTTTAAGTGTCTCTCCTGAAGTGTCTTGTGTTAAGTGTCTCTCCTGAAGTGTCGTTTAAGTGTCTCTCCTGAAGTGTCGTTAAGTGTCTCTCCTAAGTGTCTCTCCTGAAGTGTCGTTTAAGTGTCTCTCCTGAAGTGTCTGAGTGTCAAAGTGTCGTGTTAAGTGTCTCTCCTGAAGTTTCTTAAGTGTCTCCCCCAGTGTCGTTTAAGTGTCTCTCTGAAGTGTCGTTTGTTAAGTGTCTCTCCTGAAGTGTCGTGTGTTAAGTGTCTCTCCTGAAGTGTCGTGTGTTAAGTGTCTCCTGAAGTGTCGTTTAAGTGTCTCTCCTGAAGTGTCGTTTAAGTGTCTCTCCTGAAGTGTCGTTTGTTAAGTGTCTCTCCTGAAGTGTCGTTTAAGTGTCTCTCCTGAAGTGTCGTGAAGTGTCTGAAGTGTCGTTTAAGTGTCTCTCCTGAAGTGTCGTGTTAAGTGTCTCTCCTGAAGTGTCGTGTTTAAGTGTCTCTCCTGAAGTGTTGTTTAAGTGTCTCTCCTGAAGTGTCGTTTAAGTGTCTCTCCTAAAGTGTCGTTTGTTAAGTGTCTCTCCTGAAGTGTCGTTTAAGTGTCTCTCCTGAAGTGTCTTGTGTTAAGTGTCTCCCCAGAAGTGTCGTTTAAGTGTCTCTCCTGAAGTGTCTTGTGTTAAGTGTCTCTCCTGAAGTGTCGTTTAAGTGTCTCTCCTGAAGTGTCGTTTAAGTGTCTCTCCTGAAGTGTCGTTTAAGTGTTTCTCCTGAAGTGTCTTGTGTTAAGTGTCTCTCCTGAAGTGTCGTAGAGGAACACGTAGAGGTTGGTCAAGGAAGCAGATGGCACAGCTGGTCAACGTTAATAATGGGTCTCGGTATTAGCCAGCTGCCAGATGGGTCAACGCTCCCGAATTTAGAGAGTCTGACAGGAAAACTACAGCCAGGAGAACACAAGTCTTGGAGAACACAAGTCATGGAGAACACAAGTCATGGAGAACACAAGTCAGGGAGAACACAAGTCATGGAGAACACAAGTCTTGGAGAAAACAAGTCAGGGAGAACACAAGTCTTGGAGAACACAAGTCTTGGAGAACACAAGTCATGGAGAACACTAGTCAGGTAGAATACAGGAGTAGGAGACGAACAGGTGTAGGAGAAGTACGTAACTGTGTGGAGACATAAATGGGTGTTGAGGAAACATATTACAGATGTGAAGAGACAAACGCAGGTGTGAGGAAACAATAAAGGGAGTCAGATATAGAGAATTCGTCGACTCATTAAGAGGTGTAGAGGTAATACAAGAAGGTAGTGTTGCCTCAAGAGAAGTGTAGGTGTAGTGGTGTGTGTATGTGTAGGGGATAAAACAGATGTGTGGGGGGGATACTACCAGGTGCAGGTGAAGTAGATGACATGACACAGACAGATGAGGAAACATGTAACATGACACATATAGAAGGCGAGGTAGGTATCATGACAGAGAGGGTGGTGTAAGTGTCATGACATAGATAGTGATACAGGTGTCATGACATAGAGGGGGATACAGGTGACATGATAGATACATAAGGTGAGACAGGTGACATGAGACAGAAAGTTAAGTGTAACTGTATACTGGTTTGGAGGCAGACAAGAATGGACATGGGTGTAGACAGGTCGAAGGTAGACAGAAGGCATGACAGGGGCGTGGGCATGACAGAGGCGTGGGCATGGTTCAAACGACAGGGAGAAGCGAGGAGCTAGGCCAACCAGGAACCATATTGGGCGATGTTTGACACTTACCGAAATAAACCCCGAGAGCCGGCGATCTGGGGCGCCCTGCCAACCCCTCCGGCTACACGTGTTTACTCTCTCTCTCTCTCTCTCTCTCTCTCTCTCTCTTACTATTAATTACATACACAAAACTATCATATAGACATAAAACTTATCTAGAAGTACATATACTGCAGATACTTAATTGTGAGAACAAATGGCACTTCAGAGTAGCAGCCGAGGTGTACTAGACAATGTGGAACAGTTAAATCGATATTGACTTTAGCGTTTGTGTAGGTATTTCAAGCTTGTTAGAACCTTTAAATGTACACAACCTTATGGTGTGTGTGTGTGTGTGATCGTGGGTCATCATGCGAGAGGGACAGAGAACAATATCAACACCTTAACCTACTGGACGTGTGTCACCGACGAGCGGGCGGGGAGGGTAAGGGACGCGGACGTGGCCATTTAGATAATCCGTCGGACTTTGGAGATGTGGAGTGAGGAGAGACCCGCCAGCCGCTCGGACAGAGGCTTCTCAGGGATGTACTTTACTTCAACTTCTCCAACAGTGATCCTCCTTTCTGTAGAGATGTTGAATTTTTCCTTTCTGGCGATCTCATACTCGGACCAAACACTGGCGTTGCGAGAGTACACCCTGGGGGCACCGGGGCGGTCAAAGTGCATGCCCACCATACACACGTTGCGAGAAGCCATGGTTACGAGAAGCTGTAAGAGACACACGTCTGCGGTCAACTTGGAGTTGCAGCAATGAAGCAACAACACCACCACCGCCCCAGGGAGAGAGGGGAGGGACTGTAGGGGAGGGGGGGCGAAGAAAAGGGGAGCAGGTGTATTGTAGGGGACGCGTCACGCCGCCAGCACAAACCATGGGAGGAGTTCACAGTTTTCCTTAATCAACGCGTCACTTAATATGTACAGTTCATCGTGAATACAAAAGTAGTGCAAATGCTAGATACGAATCTTACGAGTAAAAGGGGGACTACAAATGATTTTTTCGCTAATCACTGCAAGGAAAAGTTATCATTGTTTTGAATAGACAAAAAGATATTAAGCTGTAATATGAAAAAAGTGAACAGGACGGGGGCCACACGGGAAGGGCTGGACACTTATCAGTTCCTCTGTTTATTTCACTATTCATAATTGGCGACAAACTTTGGTGGAGATTGATTTCGTTTCTTTAATGAAAAATCATTGCGAGCTTCCAATTTACACTGTTACACTAGTGACTTACGACACACTCTTCACTTTTTTATTTTTTTGGTTGACACAATCATGGTAGTTGGTCTTCACAGGACGCGGTAACTGTCATCTACGAGGCGAAATATTCGTCGATGTTGAGTAGTTATGCTCAAGTGGTGAGCTCATTGGTTGGGTCAAGATATCGGTAGGGGTTTGATTCATGGTGATGTACTGATATAGCTCTAACACGGAAGCTTTTTACCATGAGAGAAAACTTCCTCACCTCAAACATTAATTTCAACGGAAAAAGTTGTGTTATGACTCAAACATGATAGCTTTTCTTCTTGGCAGAATTCACTACTTCACCTTCATGTTGTCTCTCGTTGTACCAATCAAAGTTTGGTGTCAATTATGTCCTCCAGTCAGTCATCCAGATCCATTTTGCTGATACGTTCGAGGATGTCCTGAGAAGAAGGCAGCTTCTTCATCATATCTACCACGGAGGTGTCGTCATCGTCGATTTCCAGGTTGTCTTTAGCCTTGCGGCTGCTGCGACCTGCTGTAGTGGCCGATGAGGAAGCGGCAGTTGATGATGACAGGCTAGAAAATCGATCCGCTTTCTTCTCTGATGAGGAGGAGAAAGAATAGTCATTCTTCTTTCGATCTAATTTGGGGGAAAGATTCAGCGGCTTTCGTTCTATTTTGGGGAGTTCAAAGTCCACCGACCTAGTCGGCAACTTGTAGTCGCCGGTGGTGCTGTCTGATTTAAACTTATAATCACCAGTGCTGCGCTCAGACTTAAATTTATAATCTTCGCCTAAGCCGCCGGTGCCATTCATCCGAGAGGACTTCTCGGATTTGAAGTTATAGGTCGATGTTTCTTCGGGAGCGGCTTTAGCAAGTGAACGAGTGGTTCGGTCGGATTTGTAGGAGCTCTCAAAGTCGGTGGGGCCACCAGCAGCGGAGCGAGAAGCAGACTCGCTTCTTAATGAGGAAGCAACAGATGATGCCTCAGAAGGCAGACCGAGTTCTTCCCTCAGTTTTTTGAGCCGGTTCAGTCGTTCATCGAGGTTCAGAGAATCCTGTGAAGGATCATATGAAGGAAGACCATCAATACGATTGGTAAAACTGGTTTCCGTTGCAGAACGCTCGGAATCAAGGCGGGACCTTAGGCCTTCAGACAGGGAGGGAGGAAGGGGAGGAAGTTCACTGTGACTAGCGGAAGACCTGCCTGAAGCCTCACGCCTGATAGGACCTGCTCGTAAATGAGGGTAGAACTCGACCTTATCCGTGTCTATAGACCTTGCCCTCGCAGCTCTGGCAGCTGCTTCCTCTTTTTCTGATAGATAACGTTTGTAAGAATCTTGGTAAAAACGCTCTGCATCTCGCACGTTACAGTCGTACACCTTGGGTTTGGGTCGCTTCCAGTAGCGGTTGACTTTGGTGCTCCGGTAATTATCCATCGAGTCGAGGAAGGAGTAGTGTCAGAGCTGGAAGAGAGACGCGGGGTTCAGAGCCGGCTGCAACCCTCACTGTGTCTCCAAGATGCTGCTACCACCACAGCAGCCGCGGTCTCACACGCGCACCAGCACCGCCCACCAGCCCACAACGAAACTAGCGCCACGTCTTTAAGTGGGGCAGGTTGGAGGGGCGGCAGACACCAACTCCGTCTTGTCTGCACCAAAACTGCTCAGGGCACCGCTGCCAGCCGCGCTGACTCACGCAGACAGTGGACAATGTGAAGGGCATGTTCACAACAACATCGCCTCCCACCCACTCCCCTGAACGACTCTTTTATCGCTGTACCGGAAGAACAGCTGACCAGTCTAGTATTACCGATATGATGGCTATGGGTTTAAATGAATGCGGCTTATTTTTTACATGTGACCGAGAGTTTCACATCAAAGCTCCATTTAATCCCTCATATTAATCGTCTGATTCAGAATGAACCGCCATTTTCCTTCTCATCTTGTACAAGCTTCTACACCTTTCGCCGTGCTAACAACATTCCTCTCGAAAATGTGGATATTTGACTTAACCTAACCAAACCTAATCAGGATGTATTGTTGCGAGGTCTTAACACAAACGACAACGTATAAGACAAAGATAAATATTATGAGGAAGTGTGATGTGTGTGGGAGTCTAGTCACATGGTCCAGTTATCTAAAATAAATTAACTCACTAGGTGGGGTAACTGACCCTAATGTACAGACTGACTTGATAGAGATTGTAGTGGTGGTGATCTGTTGTTGTGGTGTTGGTGGTGGTGTTGGTGGTGGTAGTAGTGGTGGTGGTGGTGTTGGTGGTGGTAGTGGTGGTGATCTGTTGTTGTGTGGTTGGTGGTGGTGTTGGTGGTGGTAGTAGTGGTGGTGGTGGTGGTGTTGGTGGTGTGGTGGTAGTGGTGGTGATCTGTTGTTGTGGTGTTGGTGGTGGTGTTGGTGGTGGTAGTAGTGGTGGTGGTGGGTGGTGGTGGTAGTGGTGGTGATCTGTTGTTGTGGTGTTGGTGTGGTGGTGTTGGTGGTTGTAGTAGTGGTGGTGTGTTGGTGGTGGTAGTGGTGGTGATCTGTTGTTGTTGTGGTGTTGGTGGTGGTAGTGGTGGTGATCTGTTGTAGTGGTGGTGATCTGGTGTTGTGGTGGGGGTGTTGGTGGTGGTAATGGTAGTGGTGGTGATCTGTTGTTGCTGTGGTTGGTGGTAGTAGTGGTAGTAATGGTGGTGGTGGTGGTGGTGGTGGTAGTAGTGGTAGTGGTGGTGATCTGTTGATGTGGTTGTGGTGACGTGATGGTGGTGATGTGGTGGTGGTATGGTCGTGGTGACGTGGTGGTGGTGTTGTGGTGGTGATGTGGTGGTGATGTGGTGGTGGTGTGTTGATGATGTGGTGGTGACGTGATGATGGTGAATAGTGTGTTGGTTGTAGTGGTATAATAGTGTGGTAATGTCACGTTGTCAAGGTAGTGTGGTAACGGTGTGAAGGTGTGGTGGAGGTAGATGTGAAATGGTGTGGTGGTGATTCTAGTGTGATATTGTGGGAGTGTTCTTGTGGCAGAGGTGTAGTTGTGGTGTGGTGGCGGTAATAATGTAGTGGTAGTGGTAGTGTTGTGGTAGCTGTGGTAGTGGTGTAGCATTGGGGTAATCGTGTGGTAGAGTTGTGGTAGTGGTGTGGTAGCGGTGGTAGCGATGTGTTAGAAGTGGTAGAGATGTTTATAGTGGTGGTAGAGGTGTGGTAGAGGTGTAGAAGTTATGGTAGAGATGTTTATAGTGGTGGTGGAGATGTTGGTAGTGGTTGTAGAGATGTTGGTAGTATTGGTAACGGTGGTAGAGGTGTGGTAGAGGTGCAGTAGTGGTGGTAAAGGAAAAGTAGAGAGGTGTGGTAGAGGTGGTATAAGCGTGGTAGACAGGTGTGGTAAAGGTGTGGTAGAGAGATGTGGTAGTAGTGGTAGAGGTGTGGTAGGGGTGTGGTAGAGAACTGTGGTAGTGGTGGAAGGGGTGTGGTAGTGGTGGTAGGGGTGTGGTAATGGTGGTAGGGGTGTGGTAGTAGTGGTAGCGGTGTGGTAGGGGTGTGGTACTGGTGGTAGAGGTGTGGTAGAGAGGTGTGGTAGAAATGTGTGGTAGTGGTACAGGTGTGGTACAGGTGTGGGTAGAGAAGTGTGGTGTGGTGGTAGAGGTGTGGTAGTGGTGGTAGAGGTGTGGTAGTGGTGGTGGGGTGGTGTGGGTGGTAGAGGGTGTGGTGGGGGTGGTGTGGGTGTGGTGGTGTGGTAGTGGGTGGTGGTAGGTGTGGTAGAGCAGGTGTGTAGTGGTGTTAGGGTGTGGTAGTGGTGCTAGGGCTGTGGTAGTGGTGGATGGGGTGTGGTAGTGATGGTTGGGTGTGGTGGTGATGGTGTGGTAGTGGTGGTTGGGTGTGGTGGAGGTGTGGTAGAGGTGGTAGAGAGGTGGTAGTGTAGGGGTGTGGTGGTGGTGGTAGGAGGTGGTATTGGTGGTAGGGGTGTGGTATTGGTGGGGGTGTGGTAGTGGTGTTAGGGGTGTGGTAGTGCTAGGGCTGTGGTAGTTGGGGTGTGGTAATGTTGGTTGGGGTGGAGAGGTGGTAGTAGGGATGTGGTATTGGTGGTAGGGTGTGGTAGTGGTGTTAGGGGTGTGGTAGTGGTGCTAGGGCTGTAGTGGTGGGTGTGGTAGTGATGGTTGGGGTGTGGTGGTGATGGTTGGGGTGTGGTAGTGGTGGTTGGGGTGTGGTGGAGAGGTGTGGTAGAGAGGTGTGAGAGGTGTGGTAGTGGTAGTAGGGGTGTGGTATTGGTGGTGGGTGTGGTATTGGTGGTAGGGGTGTGGTATTGGTGGTAGGGGTGTGGTAGTGGTGTTAGGGGTGTGGTAGTGGTGTTAGGGTGTGGTAGTGGTGGTAGGGTGTGGTAATGGTGGTTGGGGTGTGGTAGTGGTGTTAGGGTGTGGTATGGTGGTAGGGTGTGGTATGGTGGTAGTGGTGTGGTATTGGTGGTAGGGGTGTGTGTAGGTGTAGGTAGTGGTGTTAGGGTGGTAGTGG